TCTGGAATTTAAATTAATATTAATCAGAGAAGGTAGTTGGATTGTGAGGGCTTTTGACAATTTTTAGAAGATTGTCTATGTCAGCTGACATAAACATTTCATTTTCTTTGTACGCTGAAAATCAGAGATCCAAACTTACCTGAAAAGCTAAATAGACAGCATTCATCCCCATTGGAATCGTGATGTTGCAGGAATTATTGTGTATGCATTATAGAAACGGAAGAACAAGGGAAATGCTAAAATGTCCATCACCTGTTCCACTTGTGGGTGGCAGCCCAAGGCTCTGTTGTGAGGGTAGTAACTGCTGATTTGGGCTATTTCATGTGTCAGGAATTCTAGAAAGAATATAAGTCTAAAATAGATGTCTTATCTTGCAGGAAGTGCTTCCTTTAGCCAGATTTGTCACGGTGAGGTTGCTGTCATATCAGGATAAGTTGTAAATGTCATCTTGAAATACAAATATGTACTTTTCTACTAAGACAAAAGCAAATAACAACGTGTCTGACTGTGCAAAATGTGTATTTTGTCTGTAAAAATCTTAATATTAAAACAAATTACCTAGTGACAAATCTTAAATGTTAAAAAAATTACCTAGTTATTGATGATAGTACCTAATTTTGTCGTAGGTACAAATCTTGTAGCATTCTCAAACAATACTAGTAGAATTTCTTTTTAGAAAGCCAATTTGGAAGGTGTTTAATATGTAAAACATCTTTGATGCAATAATTTTAGTTCCAGAAGTATGTTTAAAGAACAAGGATATACAAAAAATCCATCTGCAATGGTATTATAATTGCAAAAATAGTATATGAATTACATGTCAACAAGATAGACATGTAAATATGATTTATGTTATGTTATTAAAATATTCTGCAATCATTAAAATGGTATTCAGAAATGTTCAGAATTCTAGGTGTAAATGTATAAAAAACCTGTTATAGAGCATGCACAGAATGAATTGAATTACTTATAGGAACATCAAAGAATATCAAATATCTAATTTTAGATGGCCTATCTGGTAGTAGGATTATTAGAACTACTTAATCTCTTTTAATCCTTTTTCATTTTTCTATTACAATCAGGCAAGACATTATTATGATTTATACTACAGGTAGGACTAGAACTAGGACTTGTGTCAATCTTTCTTTTAAATCAAGTAGATATGTGGATATGTCTCATTCCGATTAGAAAAATTGCAGTTGGTACTGAATTATTTATAATGTAGATCTAAAATGGCCCCCAAAACATCATGTCTTTCAAGGTGATTGGATTATGGGGATATTAGAGCTGACCTGCTGTGAGGAGACAGGGGTCTGTTTGAAAGAGGCTGGTCACTATGTGCTGATCCGGAAGTGTATAGCTCACTTCCTGTTTCCTCGCTGAACTCTGTGCTTCCTAACTGCCATGACATGCGCAGCTTTTCCTCCTCTATGTCCCTCTGCCACGCCTTCTTACCATGGAGCCTGTGGACTATGGACTAAAAAATGTGAACCAAAATAAATCTTTCCTCCTTTAAACTGTGGGTGTTGGGTAATGTGTCACATGACAAAGTGACTAAGACATTAAATCTTTTTTTTTTTTTTTTTTTTGGTTTTTCTCCGGTACCAGGAATCGAACTCACAACCTTGAGCTTGCCAGGCAGGCGCTTTTTGCCGCTGAGCTAAATCCCCAGCCCCCAAGACATTAAATCTTTACTAATTTCCCCAAAGCTATGGAAAAGGAAAAGGTCCTTCATTTACTGAAGAGATTCTTTTCCTCTCAAGAACTGACTGAGAGAACTGAAACGGGGAAGCCCTGTCACAGGCATTTGCTGAAGGGAAGAATAAATTAACAAATTACAATAGAAGTAGTTGTGCCAATTTCATTGAATTACAACAAAACAGAACCTACTGCAACAAATATTTAAAATACCCAAATAAAAGGAGCAGGATGTAAGCAAAAGAAAAAAAAATCACAATTTTGATATAATAGACTAATTTTTTCTTCTTATCTGGGCTCCATATTTGTCAATGGCCCTATGATTCTCTGAACTGACTAATGAGGTACATAAGTCACAGAAATACATAAATCACTTAACAGGATACGGCCTTCAGTTCAGATATCTTTGTTTGTGATAAAAATCTCACCATTCTCTTCCTGTCAGCATAGTCAAAACTCTCAGTCAGCTTGGTTTGTAATCTTGCTTGCTGGAAGATTAAATTTCATAGTTAATATGAACAGAAAGCTAGAGACAAGGAAAAAGATGGAAATTATTTATTCTGGGAGTGCTGCACATTTCAGTTTGATCACTATTTCTATTATCTTGGTGATCAAGTGGTACCAGGCACTAATGTCCTGACACTTATGTGGCCAATTACAGAAAATGTTTAAAACAAACAAACAAGCAAGGAGTTCCAAGTTGCTAAGGCTGGGGTCCATTTTGAGCAAAACTGAGAAATTGGCAAGGTTTTCCCCTCATAATAACATTTCATTCAGCAACTTTCTCCTTGCTGCTGATAACCTCTCTTCCTGTAAGGAACCCATTTTGTTCTATGTGAGAATGTGAAGATCCGTGCCATTGTATTTGACACAGCAGGAACTCAACGAATATTTTTACTTGCCTTTTTATATTCTGGGACTTTTGTAAATAAAACCTCCTTCCAACTAAGAGATGCAATTGGCAGGAAATAATGATGAGTACAACTCTCTGATCATGTTTTAGGTAGCAGAGACTATTTGAAGTGTTTCATGTATATTTACGTGTTATAATCTTAAGAACTCTGTAAGATATGTACGTTTATTACTTCCATTTTATAGATGAGGAATCCAAGGCAAATAAATAGTTTAGGTGTTTCCATAAAGCCAGTTAGCTACTAAGTAATAAAACCGGGATCATCTTCTCAAAGTCTAACCTCTTAGTAAGTACCACCAATAAGTATTCAATCATCTAAAATTTTCTGTATCCTTTAAGGTACATAATAGTTTACATTGAAATTAAGTTAAAATTTTATCTGACAACTTGAAAAAAGGCAGCATATACCTGAGACCATTCAGTTACTAATTCCTCCAAAGCTATTCAAGTTTCCCTAAAGAAATTCAAGTTTCTGAATTGGGAAACTTTTTTTCATAAAATTCAGTGACAAGTGTATTTGAAAAGATAGTGTACTACGTGGACTTTCTTATAGGTTTCAAGGAAATAAAAAGAGTAAAAGATTAAATTAATAGCACTGTAAAAGTAAACTTTTAAAGTTAACAATACTATACCCTTTTTCTTGATTAAAGAGAAAAATTAATAAATTACAAATATTTCACAAAATAATCATAGGTTATGCTGTCTTTCATCTAGAACAATGCTTTCTGCATGCTAATATTACTTTGAAAACTACATTATGATAAATCTATGCATTTAAGACCAGCTACCAAGTCACCTATACACAGTGTCTACTGTGTTTTATAAAAGTTGTTTTTGTATACTGATTATAGTTGCTTCTCCTTTAAGTCCAACCTTCAAATTATACCTTGTGCAGGGGCAACTGCATTTATGGTTACCATTTGCTATTTATTAACAAATGAGGGCTGAGTGGTTTCAACTTCCAGAAGAAGAAGAAAATCTGGTATAATTATACCACGGATTCATTTTAAAGTACTAAAAATATCAGGAACTCGCGAGAGACATATACCTAAATTCAATGTTTCTTACATGATTGTTTCTATAGAGCGCAAAACTGCTGAGGAAATCACAGCTCTGAGGTATAACTTGGAGGTAAGCTTGAACTTTTGCACAGCTGTAGGTCTCAGGATGGTGTCTACCGCAAAGAGAGGACTATTTCCTAAGCGGATGTTCTTCAGCAACTGTGTGCAGATTCCAACGTGTGTGAGCTGTCAGCGTGCCCTTGGGGAGAGCTGCTTCAGACCGTGAGCTGATTCCGGCCGCTCTCAGTACACTGCGGTGGTGTTGTGCCATCAAGAAGGGATTTTCCACGTCAGTTTAGGATTTGAAAGACGCAAGGTGTTTCCATCTGTGTTTCTGATTCCATTTCAAAAGGGATGATTATTTTATAGCTTTCACGCAGAAGCGGTTCCCAAATTGAGCTCATCATTTGTAACACCTGGAAAACTTCAAACTCCAGATAGCTAGGTATTTTCCAAAATCTACTGAATCAGATTTCTTGCGAACGGATCTATGCATCCATATTTTTAAAGCTTGCCCTCTGACTGGATTTTGCATCTAATTTTAGAACCCACTGCTACATAGCTGTTAATCAAAATGATTTTATCCTAACAGAACGGCCTAACAGGGGCTATGTGAAGAGAAATAAATTACTGGTTGAAGACTTAGAGTGTACCAGTGCTTGAGCTTACGTAATGTATAATTTCCCGTGAGTCTTAAAACAGTCGTAGGAAGCGTGAATGAATGTACACTCCATTAATAAGGCAATGAGACGAGGGGGTACACAAGGATAACGATGTCTCTAATATCACACCGCTAAGAATAACCAAATGATGATTGAAATCTGAATGCTGATGGTCTCTAAGACCACTTATGTCAATAACAATAAAAATGTTAACTAATATTTGGGGTATTAGATTTATTCTTTATATTTGCGGATCCTTCTTAGAGAACACCCATTTTACTAAATCTCAGAGTTGCGATGGGAGAGACTGAATGCAAATGAGCTAGCTACTCAGCAGTAGTTACTACAGTTTTTCTCTCATGAATCTTCACCTTATCTTTGTAAGGAAAGTCGACACCGACTTGCTGTTTTGGCACAGACTAAATTAAGTGTCTATGCGCTTTTGTAAATGCTTTTAAATTGAGCTGTTACTCAAATGCTAATAAACTATTTTTATAATTCTTAAATGGCTGTCCTACTTATCAAACTTCAATTATCATTAGTACAAGGATCTAGTTCATTTTGTTTTTATTCACCGCACCCAAGTTTGGGCTCACTCTGCAGCGGTTGCTCAGTAACGATATGCAAATGAATCCGTGAACTCCCATGCTGCTTCCTTGAGTGAGTTCACACCTGTGCCGCTCACCATGCTCTCAAACACATGAAAAGGGTTAGTGAGTATATAATTAATTTTCTTCAATAGAAACAGAATAATAAACTATGTCTTAACTTTTTGCATATGTACTTTACTCATAATTAAATAAAAATAGATTAAAATACTTCTACTTATTTTTTCTCACTCTGTATTTAGATGATATTGCAGAAATATAATCTTAAGTCAAGAATTAGACAAAGCATTGAAAAGTTTTTTTTAAAGAATTTTCTTCTGATATAAAATAATACCAAGTATTTTGCTGTTTGTCTTGTATTTAGATGGCTTTGAGAAAACATTGATGAATGGCTCACCTTATTCTGATTTACATGGTAAAGAAATTTTACACTCAACAATAATTTATATTCATGGAGATAAAATGACTACGGATCCCCATCTGCCCTCATTTGATCCTGTAATTTGACCGTGCATACTTCTTTTCCCTCATAGAGATTCTACCTTTTCTAAAGATAGAACATTTTAATTGCTGGGTTTAAATTCATTCAATGGGCTGAGGTAAATTAAAACATGTTCAGGGGATACCTTTAGTCATTCAGTGGTTTCCCAACTTGCCTTCACACTGGGATCAGTTGGGAGCTTCAAAAACTTCAGATGCCTGTGGTTTTCCACCCAGAATGTGATTGGCTGATTGATTGGAGGTGTGGCCTAAGCGTTGGAATTTCTAAATGACTGATAGGTTATTCTAACGAGGCAAGTTGGGCAGCTGCTGTCATTGGTTTCTGTCTTCCTCAAAGCAGTAGCCATGTACACCTCTTTGCCTTCCTCTTGGATTTGTGAAGCGCCACGATGACCCTAAAACTGGAATTTAGACCTGGATTTTCTTAACAAAGGAATGCAACTAGGAATGCAAATGCCCGGGATTTATTTTAAAGTGGGAATTTCCCATAACCTGTGTGCCAAGACTCAAGGCTGGAAAGGTGAAAGGGAATAAGAACAATATATAGATTTTAAAAAAATCTCTCATGTTTTTACTTCCTGTGCAGTGAACAGGATGAATGACAACTCTGTGTTAGTTAAAATAGGAGATATGAAATATTTCACATGTAATTTATTAGCTGAAGAGACTTCATAGCAAGTTCTAACGAAGTAGCAGTTCAATGATCTGATAACAGAAAAAATTATGGTCCAAGAGGGCAGACATACATTAACACTACAATTAATGCCACTGTGTGGTGATTTCCAAAATTTTCAGAGTATACAATGCAATTGAAATTCAGTGCTTTCAAGTTGGGAGTGGTGGCACATACCTGTAATCTCAGCACTTGGGAGGCTGAGGCAGGAGGACTGCTGAGGCCAGCTAGGCTATATGGTGGGTTCAAGGCCAGCCTGAACTACAGAAAAAGAGCCTTTCTCAACAAAATAAATAACTCCCAAAATACAAGCAGTGGTTTCTGTGCCCAAAAAATGGTTAAGAGGTTTTGAATTTCCAAAGGGTTTATGGCAGTGGTAGCAAACCTATGGGTGGCCTGTTTGTATCAGTGAAAGCTCTAAAAGGTTCACTGTCACTGCTTGATGGTCTTAAAAATGGCTACAAGCAGTGTTCTAATGGCATATATTTAGAAATCTACTGTGGTCATAAAGCCCTTCATCTGTCTTTTTTTTTTTCTTTTTTTTACTGAACAAGCAAGTGTGTATTCTTTCCTTGTGCAGTGAGTGCTAGGTGACCCTGTTTGTTGTAGAAGGTACAGAATGTGTAGAAAGTTAAGCAGAGACGAAAGAAAAAAATTTCAGGAAATCACCTGCTTAAGCTGATCTCTAATTCCTTGAACTCTAGTCTCTAAATAATTGAACTTTGATCTTATTTGAGGTGGGAAAATACACACAGGTGGCCTAACTTCTAATTATTTCAAAATTCCCATTGAAAGGCACAGGTGTCAAAGTCTGAAGGATTTTAGTCCTTCATTTAGGGCATTCAATTTGCTTTTCTTTTAAACTGAACTCAACTGCCTGTTAATCCGCAGTGAGGTCTGTGCTTTTTGTAGCGGGCCCTGTTGCTTATACTAACTTCACTTGCCGTTCTGATTTGCTGAGGCAGCTGCTGCTTTAAAAACTTTTAATGTTCTCTAAGAAATGGATTCTGAAATCTTTGCTATTTATTGGATCACCTGCTTAAAAAACACTGGTGTTCTTGTCCTACCCACAGACATCCTGATGTAATTGGTATAGAGGGCATCTTAGGCACTCAGAGTTTTTAAAGATTCCCAGGATAATTCTAACATGCTGCAAAGTTTGAGAACCACTTTTTAGGAAGGGGAATGTGATGCTGGCTTCCTTGCTCAGTACAAACCTTTTCTATCTCTGACCTAACATTCATGGATATAAAGTAGAGTTTGCTTTCCAATGAAAGTAGATATCAGGAGGGAATTGCCCATTTTGTCAACCTCCCTTGGGTTATATCAACTTACTGCTCCTACTTTTATTAGTGATTGGCTTGGGGGCTTGGACAATGGAAATACTGCAGGATATTCATTTACAGGAAACGTCAGAATATAGTCTGACAAATGTTTATTCAGTTATGCAAGTAAGTTAAAGGAAGTGAAATATTAAGCACACTGAGAGACAACTGTATGCATTTCTGATCCTGAATGTGAAAAATATGTAAACTATAACTGAATATATAATAAGTATGCAAGCTTGGCTATACCTTGAGAATGAGTAATGATTTAAAATTAAATTTTTAACTAGGACTAGTATAAGTTATAGTAAAACCATTAAATCCAGGTTTTACTGAGTCATATTATATAATTCTGAAATAGTAAGTTTCTTAATGCTTTTGAAATACTTTTTTTAATCAGTGGAATTTCTTTAAAGCAAGAATTTGGATTAAAATATATTTTCAAGTGCTTTTTGTGAAATAAAATTTCTACACTTAGCTATTCTTTTAGAGTAATTATTGGATAAATAACATTATGTGAATAGAAAACCACAATGAAAGGCATGACATTTAACTGGTGGCCAAGAATTCCCCATAAAGCATAATATTTTCATAGTTGAAGTTCCCCTTGCTATATACATAGCCACTGGCAAATATTTTACCAATAGTTTCTGTAGGGAAAATGTACATTCTGATAATGGTATATTGTTATATAGGCCTTCATTTTTATTTAAAAAGAGAAAAAAAAAACAAAATAACAACAAGACAAAAACAAAACAATACAAAAGCAATAAAAATGATACAGGATTTCAAAACAAGATGATAGGAATTAACAGTGGTTGTCATATTACATATTGTTATCTTCAATGAAATTGCTCAGATTACCAGATGTAAGAATGCAAGGTTAATCAACCATTCACTAAACAAAATGATAAATCGATATACTTCTACTTACTTATTGATACATATATCTTTGCTTCTATGGCATACCAGCCTTGCAAGTTCATGAAATATACTTTTTAAAAACAACCTCTAGGGCTGGGGGTGTAGCTCAGGGGCACAGCACCTGCCTGGCAAGTATGAGGTTGTGAGTTTGATTCTCAGTACCAAAAATAAATAAATAAGTACATAAATAAAATAACTAAAAATTAAAAACTCCAATAAGCAAATATCTCTTAGTTCCTAAAACTTAGAAAAATTTTCTATATCTTAAAATTTGCCTGTCTTTGGACTTTGTTACTTATTTCATTCCACCATCTTTTATTTTAAACCAGAAACAATCAATAAATATGGTATGGTTATAGAAAAATGGAAAAAAAAATTTAAGAATTCTTCTTTCACAGTTTTTTTTTCCACTGCAAGCCCTTTTATTCTCCTAGATATAACTATTAAGAGTTTAATAACTTATTCTTCTATTATAAATAGCATAAGCCTATATTAACTGGCTCTAAATTAATTTTTTTTTTTTGCTACTAGGAACTGAACTCAGGACCTCGTGCTTGCCAGACAGGCGCTTGTGACACTGAACTGCATCCCTAGCCCTAATTTTTATGTTTCATACATAATAACTTGCATGTTTTCTATAAAAATTGCATACTATTCCATAAACACAGATGTTCCTGAGTTATTAATTTTCCTCTTGATAGACAGTGTGTCCAATTGTACATTCATTAATGCAGCATAATATTCCATATTCTTATATATTCCTCCATATATTCATACAAGTTTCTGCTTAAATGAAATTTTTTACTGTGAAATATGATATATATTGCTAATTACCTCCCAATAGTCTGTGCTGTACAGTATTTTATTCTTACTATTAGTGTTGAGGACATAAACCATTTCCTTGTATCTTCCCTAGTGGGACATACTCGCAGTCCTTAAATTTTAACAAGTAAGTGGGTCAAGTTGTTCATTGCTCATACTCTTTTCTTTCTGGAGTTGAACTCTCTAATCTTTCTTCTGCTTAATGGGCTCCACAGCAGCACTATAGTTTCACAGAATTTTTCAGTTTCTGTCAGAAACTGATGCACAGCAGTTCACTTCAGCATCAAAATGTATAATATTAAAGGTAATATTTGTCTTGATCTTACAACCCTGTTAATGACGTGAGTATTTCTCAAGGTGGGGCCCTGTATTAGAATCACACAGATGCTTACGTAAAATGTTATCTCCATAGCCCCTGGGTGAATCACAATATCTGTGTGAGAACAAAAAGTATCTATATTATGAATAAATTTCTCAAAAAATTCTTGTGAATAGTAAGTTCATGAGAGTTTACTATGCATACTTCCAACCTTCACACTTTTTTAAAAAAGCAATTAGAGAATATGTAGTATTTGAAAAGAAATTCTTCAATGCCCATGGGTTATGGGAACCCTGACAGAAAAATTCAATAGCAAATTATCCCCAAGTGGTAAACAAGTTGCACACTTAACATTTTACATTTAAAAATATTTTAGTAGCTGGATTCCTAGAAGATATGCTTAAATAATTGCTATCTGTTTCATAATTCACAGTAACACTATAATCTTAAGGATGATCTTTCTTTTTTAAAAGCTATCAGTTGTATGGAATTCTAATTGCTAAAAATACTTCAATCCATGGAAAGAAGTTTTGGGGA